AAATACTGATCACTTTTTTTTTTTTTTTTGCATTTTGACGATATTTAAAAATTTCGTGAAAATAAAAAACAGACATTTTATAAAGAGGAAGGAAGTGGTAATTAATTAAGGAATTGTGATTATGGGATAGGTAGGGAGGTGAGTAATGTGCATGAAATACGGAGTGTAATGCTAGTACTACTATAGTCTATATATATATATATAGCTATACACCACTCCTCCCTAGCTAGTTACCTAGTCTAGCCTTGCCTGTCTCTTTCAATTATGGTCTCCTCAAGAAACCACGTTGAAATTCAAAAGTGGAGGGTCCAATTATTGTGCCCTTTCAACGACCCCATGCAGTTTTGTGCTAGGTGCAATAATTGGGAGCATTCACTAAAAAAAAAACTTGCTATGCAAGTGTTTGAATTTGAGTATTGCACAAATTTTCAACTCGGTGCAAATGACAACGAGCATAACCTGTTATTAATGCCCTAGGGTCTCAACGCATGAGACTCGTTCATTTAGATTTATTTCGATATCTCATTCACAAAATTAATGGTTCCTATTCTTTTTAACCCCACCCTAGACCTTCAACCCTAGTCTGATTTCTGGCCGCACTCTAGACCCCGACTTCTTACCCCCTTCAAGTGTGAAGCTATTATGAGCCACACATTTAGAGAGGGTAAGAGGGGGGTCTAGGATTGGGGCGCAGGATTAGGCTGGGGTGTGCAGTAGTGGGTTTAGGGAGAGGGTTAAGGGGTAGGAACTATTAGGCTATATGTACCGTCTGTCTCACACTACACCCGCTGTATAGTCTTTTAAAATTTTATAATTCTACACTCTCTTTCTTCCGATTCGTCAGTGAGAATAACATATTATAAAAGCGGGGTAAACTTTGCTCTAAGTTATTTCGGGTCTTAGGGAGAACGAAATAGTTGTTAAAAGACGGATCTAAATCAAGAGAGATCGTGTGGTTGCCAAGCAGCTGTTAGGATACTAGTTAAATATTTCCAAAGGTTTGTGAGAGGGAAGATTCTAGAGAATTCTAGAAGTTGGTAGAGATGTGTAGAATTCTCTAAAACATTATGGAATATTCTAGAGAATTGTAGAAGTCTCTAGAATTGTGTAGAAAATTAAAGTTTAGAAGTTTCTAGAATATTCTAGAGTTTTCTAGAGAAGTGTGGAAGTTTCTAGAAGCGTGTGGAAGAATGTAGTGTCCTTTAGAATATTCTAGAACTATGTGAAGTCCTCTAGATTATTCTAAAACATTATGGATACGTGTGGAGACTTTCTAAAAGATTCTAGAGACGTAGAAATGTCTGGAGTATTCTAGAGAAATCTAGTCTTGGTGATGTGGTGGTCCCAAAGTGGTGAGATACAAAGTCTAGAGGGGGGGTGAATAGACTTTGTTACAATTTTAAAATTTTTTTTGTTTCTTTTGAAAACGTGAAAATAGTGTAAATCTAGAGTTCTTGGAAACTTTAGATTGTGTGCGGAATTTGGTGGGTAGTATGAGCAGTGATCAATATGGATGGGTTAGTTTTCACAGTTAATATAATTGCAAGTAAGAGTAAAGATAAAAGAGAGAGACACACAAACTTTAACGAGGTTCGAAGGTGGGGTAATCCTTCTACGTCCTCAAAATCCACTATGTAGTTGGTTGTTGAATAATGAACCAACAATTACACTTGTGTGAATTTCTGCACGGTATATCTTCGCAAGGCCAAAGTTGCTACTGCACTCGTGCTGGCTTTGTTGTTCCTTCGAAGGTCACGCTTCTTCAACAACTGCAAGATCCGAACAATAGGACTTGCAAGATCAACTTGTGAGAAAGTTGATCTACCCTCTTTTAATCAAAAAGTTTGATCAAAAGTATATCCTTCAACGTGGTGTGGTACTTGAGGCAAGGAAACCTTCAAGTGTTTACACTATAGCTCTTTGGAAGGAGGAGAAGTTTGCTTCTGGATAAGGAGTTTTAGAAATCTCTTTATCAAGCTTTTTGGGCTAACTGTGAATGAGATGACTTTGTTGTTAGAGATTGCTTCGTTGTGTTCGTCTATCTCGTTAATTTTTTTCTCTAGTCTTCCAAGGTTGCTATTTAGCTGGATTGGATAATCTATCCGTTGAATCAAAATAGACTATCCGTTGCATTTGCTGGCTTCAATTTTGAATGAAGATGGTGATTGAGGATTCCTCATTGGAGTGGGTGTTTGGACATACCCAATTGTTTGAGGAGGGATTCCTTTTCCCACAGAATCTGTCTTCTAGCTGTTGTTCAAGAATTCTGGACTGTAGCACTTTACTCAGTTTGTCTTCTAGTGCTTGTTTAGGAATTATGGACGAGCTCTTTAATTTGAGGGGTCCAGACTTTGTCTTCAAGTCATTTGTTCTTGAATCAGCTTAATTATCTTCAATCTAGCCGTTGAAAATCAAGAGATTGATTTTTCCTTACCAACAGGTAGAATTTCTTCATTCAAGACTTAGAATTTTTTCTGTCTTTTCTCACTTGTCCGCTTCTGAGAGTTCCGATCTTTTCTTGAGGCATCCAGTTCTTTTGCTGACAAATCCGGAAGAGTCATTCACAGACTTCCGGGTGAGAAAGAGATCCGCGCTAGTCTTCCGATTTGAATGACTTAGCTTTCAGCGGGTTGTAGCGAGACATCCGGTTATCATGTAGTGTTCCGGATTAGAGGATCTTCATCTGCTTTGAGAAATCTTTACTTGTCTCTAACATTTCCGATCAAGATATCCAATTTCCATATCACAGAATTTAATCAAGTCTTCAAGCATCAAACCACTTAAAGAAATATCACAACTTTATTTGAAATCTCAAGAACTCGATTTTAACAATATTTCTAAAAAGAAAAATTACATTGAATATTGGAGGAGGCCTAAAGTCCCTATTACAATCTAAATACATCATCATCAAAATCTATAATATTTTCCCAACATGATGAGTATAAATAGGGGTGTGGATGTCTCATTTGGCAATCAATGGAGGAAGAAGAGAGTGAAGAACCAAGAAGGCCTTTTTGAAAGTGCTTTTGAGTGAGGTGTAAAGAGGTGTCCTTAATACAAAGAGTGAAGTGTGCTACCTGTGTAATTGTAATCTCTCTTATACATTTCTCTATATAATACAAAGTCATTTTCTAAAGTCGTGTCTTCGTATTATTGAGTGTGTGAGAGTGTACAAGAGTTTGGTTATGTGAATCGGGGAAAGAGGTCGACACACACATCAATTCCTCAACACATTCTATGGAAGATTATTTTTGTGTCCGGCTAACGCACAACGCTCGCCATTTTTGGATGATCTAACGTCTATTTTGTAGAATGGACGACTACTTACAAATTGAATATCACTATATCTAACAACATTACAATGACATAAGTAAACTCAAATTTATTCATTTGCGAAACTAAAGTGTACATTTGCAACTCGGTAGTTGGCTTATTGTAGTAGTTGTGATAATTGAGATGAATATTTGAAGATGTCCAGAAAAAAAAGTCTAGATATGCCTTACGAACTTTGCAAAGGTGTGCCATGCGTTCTAAATTTCGATTAGTACTTTTTAATTTTTCCCAATATTTGTTTAAATATTTCAATGCAAAATATTAATTTATATTATGTAGAAGGTGTAAGGGTACTATATATACGGTGGAAATTATTTGCGAAAATCGTCATGGAATAAAATTAACAAAAAGTACAACATTCATGAGGAGCCGAGGAGGTGCATGAATTTCCATGAGTGCTAGGTAGCATTAACTGTGTGCACTAGGATTGAACAAATTGCTCAACCGCTTGGCGCGGTTAATATCAACGCGGTGACAACTATAGTCACCCAACATTGATGCTTGAAGCAATAATGCCATATGACCATTTGATATTACATGCGTTCTTTGGAGTTTGTAGATCAAGAAATGGTGTTGGAGACGTGAACCAAAGACCAAGAAGAAGGACCAACCGAATCCCTTTGGGATTCGATTTAATATTTTTCCTAGTTTGTTTCTTGATTTGTTTCCAAGTAGGATTGTTGATTTGTATCCTAGTATGATTGACCTCCTCTCATATGAATTGAAGAGAAGAATTTTGTATTAAATAGAACCACATAATATACAGAATTTTTTTTCAATATTATTTCTTAACATGGTATCAGAGTGAATTTTCCTGAGACCTCCATTGAACTAAGCTTCACGCAGGACGTGCTATTTGTCAATCAAGTATAGCTGACGACGGCAAGATTGAAAATCCTTTTTCCAAAGCCACCAGCGAAGAGGAAGAAAGGTACGATGTGCAAATAATTAAGGTTAGCCATTATGAACTAACATATTCATATACTCCTACTCTGTTTATCACCTAGATCAAATTAACTGGGGATAAGTATGAACAATGGGCATACACAGTGCGAATCACGCTCCGTGCCCTGAGAATATTTGGATTCATTGATGGATTCATTCTCGTACCAGAAGATGACAAAGAAGAAAAAGAAGAATTGTGGATCGTGAATGCCATTTTGGTTTCATGGATCTTTAGTACCATAGATGGGTCACTCAAAATTCAATAACACAGGTTGAGGAAGCAGCAGAATTATGGGATGACATCAAAGAGATATTCTCCATGACGAATGGACCACGAGTAAATTAACTCAAAAAGGATCTAGCACACTATAAACAAAATGGATAGTCAATCGCGTCATACTTTGGAAAGAAGAAGAGTATATGGGATGACTTGGGCACCATCGAGAAATTTCTCGTATGCACCAAGTGTCGTGCGTGTAAGTCACGATATTCAAGCTTGTTAAAATAGAGAAAGAGAATGAAAAGGCTCATCAGTTCTTGATGTGTCTTGACAATGAAAGACACGGTAGTGTGCGCTCAAACATCTTGAGCACGGTTCCATTGGCTTCGCTCAATTGTGTCTACTCAACGATAATACAGCAAGAGGGAGTGCTTAAAATCACTCAAAAAGAGGAGAAGATTCATGTTAGTTTTGCGGTAACCCATGCTCTTGATGCTTATAGGGACCTAAAGTGCAAGCATTGAGGACAAACATGACATGTGATCAGCAGATGTTTCCAGCTTATTGGCTTTTGTCAATGGTGGGGAGACAAACCCTGGAACCAGAACATAGAGGGAGGCCGCAACACGACAGGTCGCGGCGGATGACAAGGAAGTCAAGGAGGTTCAGCCGGTCGGGGCAACCGCTTAGCGGACTGGAAGACTGGAGGCAGCAGTACCTTTACTAGTGGTGGTGCGGATAGTGGACCAGCAACGTTCACGGCGAAGATAGGAGATGCGGGTGGGAGTAATTAACTTATGACCAATTGAAGGCTTTAATGAGGAAGTTGGAAGAAAAAGAAACACCTTTTGAAAATAAGTTCTCATATAATTGTGTTTCCTCTTGGACTATAAATAGTGGAGCAACTCAACATATGGAAGGGGATGAAGAACGTTTGATAAAAAAAGATGAGCCCCATCCCCGAGGGCTCCCTCATGGAGTCCCGAGTCTTTCTAATTTATTTAATAAAAATTCTATGCATTCATTATGTCATGCGTGTTAGTTAGGGAAACGTGTTCGTATCCCATTTACTTCTTCTAGTCGTATTTCAATGTTTCCTTTTCAATTAATGCACACTGACTTAGGGCAGTCTCCTATTCTTAGCGTCACTGGGTTTAAATTTTATATGCTTCTCTGGGATGATTTCTCTCATTACTTATGGGTTTTCCTTTACACCACAAATATGACACTTTTTCTCATCGCACTAACTTTATTTAATATGTGAAAAATCAATTTAATACAACCGTCAAAGGCATTCAATGTGACAATGGAACAGAATACCGCAACTCACCCCTACAAAACATATTTAACTCCCTTGGAATTCTGTTCCGCTTCTCCTGCCCTCATACCAATCAACAAAATGGACGAGCTGAGCGCACAATCCGCACTATCAACAACACAATCTGCACTCTCCTCTTCCAAGCCCAACTCCCTCCCTACTATTGGGTCAAAGCACTCAATATGACCTCTCATCTCTTTAACCTAACCCCCACCACCACCCCTCAAAACTGTACCCCACATGAGGAACTTTTTGGGTCTCCACCAAACTACTCGCACCTCCACGTCTTCAGATATCTTTGTTATCCTAACACCACTGCCACCACCACACACAAACTCTCTCCCCACTCAGCACGTTGCGTCTTCCTTGGATATCCCGCCAATCAACGTGGTTTTCGATGCCTTGATCTCACCACCCACAAGACAATCATCTCTCATCATGTTGTCTTCGACGAGTCCACCTTTCCCTTCATACACCCAGCCACACCCGAGGACTTTCGTTACCTTGAATCCATGGAGGACTCAAACCCCTACCACTTCCAGCTACCAACTCATAACCCACCAACTCATATGTCTCAACAACCCTGACCCATACTAGCGACCAAACCGTCAACACCCACCACTCTCGTCCTAACCCAACCCCCTTGATCTACCCACGGCTCACCCAGAACCTCCCTAAACCGAAAACCTCCAACTCACCATCACCCAAAATACCCACCCCATGACAATCAGAGCAAAGTCCGGCATTTCCCATCCGAGGCAAATTATAAACCTTAACACCACAACCCATATTTCTCCCCTCCCCCCAACCTATCGTAGTGCACTTAAGGACCCCAATTGGTATAATGCAATGTGTGATGAATTTAATGTTTTGATAAAAAATAACACATGGGAATTAGTACCACCCTCCACTAACCAAAATGTTATCTTTGGAAAATGGCTCTTCCGTCATAAGTTTCGCCCTATAGGTAATCTGTCTAGGTACAAAGCTCGTTGGGTGGTCCGTGGGTTCAACCAGTGTTTTAGCGTTGACTATAGTGAGACTTTCAGCCCCGTCATCAAACCAACCACCATACGCATCGTACTCAGTCTGGCTCTCTCGAAAGGTTGGCCCATTCATCAGCTGGATGTGAAAAATGCATTTTGTTATGGGCATTTGCAAGAAACAATCTATGCTAGCCAACCATCAGGGTTTCAGGATCCTTCTCGTCCTCATTATGTTTGCAAACTCAAGAAAGCACTATATGGGCTAAAGCAGGCTCCTCGTTCATGGTTTCTGCGCTTTGGAGGCTTTCTTTGGAAAATCGGATTTCATGGGTGCAAAACAGATAGCTCTCTCTTTGTTTACTCACAAGGGAATGACAGGGCTTGTCTGCTCCTCTATGTAGACGACATTATCCTCACTGCTTCCTCAGGACATTTGCTTTTCAGGATTACTAAGCGGTTGAAGGGGAATTCGCTATGAATGATATGGGGGAACTCAATTTCTTTCTGGAAATAAATGTTCAGCACACCAAAGGAGCCCTCTTCTTACATCAAACCCAGTTTGCTATTGAAATCCTTGAATGTGCGAGAATGCTCTCTTTCAAGCCCATCTCTACGCCTATTGACACAAAAGGCAAGCTACCTGCCAATTCTGGGCGCCCTAGTTGACGACCCCTCTCTCTACCGATCCACTGCCGGAGCTCTAGAGTATCTCACATTCACCCGCCCTAATCTCACATATGCTTTCCAGCAGCTCTTCATCCATCTCCATTGCCCGAGGACCACACACCTTACTGCCTTAAAACGCGTCCTTCACTTCCTCCATGGCACAGTAACTCACGAAATCACCCTCTCCCGGTCGACCACTGACTCACTTCAGGACTGTTCTGATGTGGATTGGGCAGGTTGCCCTGATACACGGCATTCTACCTTAGGTTACTGCGTCTTCTCCAACAACAATCTAGTCTCCTGGTCTTCAAAACAACAGGCTACGACCACCCGCTCAAGTGTCGAAGCTGAATACAGATCCGTCGCCAAAGCTGTTGCAGAAACCAACTGGATACGGAACGTAGTACTTGAGCTGCAGCTACCCAGTTCGCCGAGCCACACTAGTCTTCTATGAAAATGACAGCGCCTTCTATTTATCTTCAAATCCAGTTCAGCATCAGCGCACAAAACATGTTGAAGTCGACATACACTTTGTTAGAGATATAGTAGCATTGGACCATGTTAGAGTTCTTCCTGTGCCCTCTTCATCACAGTTTGTTGGCATCTTCACAAAAGGGCTACCGTCACTCCTCTTTTCTGATTTCCAACACAATCTTGGGATCCAACCTTCACCGACATAGCCGGAAGGATGTTAAATATTCCATATTTAATATTATGTGTTCATAGTAGTTTCCTTTGTAAAGGATTCTTCTCTTATTTACTTTCCTTTTTTTGTATCCCTCCATGTGTATATATACCAGGGGCGGACCCACATAGGATCATATGGGGTCAAGCGACCCCACGAAAATTTTAATTTTTTTTACTACATATATATATATTTTTTTATTTAATGAATACCAATGTTTAGTATATATACCTCAAAACGCTACATGTTTCTACATGTCAGCGCTGAAGGAGTGGATAGCTCGGTAGTTCCGTGCGTGGGTCAGCGATCCTGTGTTCGAATCCAGCTTTATGGTGCAGACTTTACATACGGAGTATTATTTCTTTTTAATAAGAGTGATATCTAAAACAGCGTTGTTTTTTTTTCCGATTTTCTCTTAAACCAGTTCGATACATCCCACTCCTGCACCAGATCTCCAGAGTCCAGACCTAAAATTTGAAGTTGAGACTGGCCATCCGCTCGCCTAAGGCGACTACAAACCTCCTCCCATTGCCGACCGCCGCTTGGAAGTTGGAACTCACGACGACGACGAGAACCCCCAAGGCCCCAATTACTCGAACAACCAGGTTTTTTTCTCTTAAATCTAATTATCTAAATTGGATATTTTTATTTTATTTGTAAATTGTGATAATTTTAATTAATTTTTATAAATTTGTTATTCTAAATAATACGGAGTATTATTTCTTTTTAATAAGAGTGATATCTAAAACAGCGTTGTTTTTTTTTCCGATTTTCTCTTAAACCAGTTCGACACATCCCACTCCTGCACCAGATCTCCAGAGTCCAGACCTAAAATTGGAAGTTGAGACTGGCCATCCGCTCGCCTAAGGCGACTACAAACCTCCTCCCATTGCCGACCGCCGCTTGGAAGTTGGAACTCACGACGGCGACGAGAACCCCCAAGGCCCCAATTACTCGAACAACCAGGTTTTTTCTCTTAAATCTAATTATCTAAATTGGATATTTTTATTTTATTTGTAAATTGTGATAATTTTAATTAATTTTTATAAATTTGTTATTCTAAATAACAAAATAGAGAATTGAATTCGTTTATTTATTTTGTAAGATTTTGATTTGTGATTTGTGAATATGTTAATATAATTAGGTTATGTACTCATATTTTAAGTATATAATGTTTTTAATTATTTAAATTTCAATATAGGATGCAAAGGTATTTTTAAAAGGCACCAAGATTTAAAGAGAAAGAATCGAGTGAGAATCCATCAAATTTGAACGCAAATGCTTCGTCATCTTTAAATCATCCACTGGAAACATCAAATTCGAATCCAAATATATCATCATCTTTGGATTTTGAATTATTAGAGGCTGGTCCGGGACTAAGAAAGAGAACTATAAATTATCATCCAAATGTACAAGATGAAATTCGTCGTTCTTATCTGAAAAATCACTTTCAAAATATGAAAACTAGACGTTATCATTTGTAAGATGTATTTCACATTTGTAATGTAGAACTATTTTTAATTAGTATTTTCAATAATATATATAAACTTTAATGTTATGTATTGTAGAATATTGTTTATTTATTGTTGGAAGCGTGATTGTTGGATATAAATTTTCTAAATTGCGACCCCATGGTATAAATGTTCTGGGTCCGCCACTGATATATACGTAAGGTGGAACCCTTGTTATTTGTTCAAAGATATTATTACGAAATTCTTCAATAATGATATAGTATTTCAAATGTTTGTTAATTTTTTATATTCATCTACAAAAAATTAAAATTCAAATAAATGATTATATAAATAAAAGATTATTTATAATTCATCTACACTTGAACCAACTTTTCAAAATTAATTTATTTTTTAATGAAAAAATATTAAAATATTGTTATTTTTATAACATATTTGTATATATGTTCAATTCAGAATTTTTCGGTATAGGAAGTTCCTCGTACCGATGCCAAATACCGGACCGAGCATTCGGTTCAGTACGAAACTGTTCTTTTTCAGTACTTTATCAATTTGGTATTTTTCAGTTTGGTAATCTCGGTTTTTTCGAGAAATGTTTTTAAAAATTAAGGTACTATTAATTTTTTTTATAGAACCTTGATTTTTTAAAAAATTATTAGTTAGGCCCCCACAAAAAATTGAATGCCCCCATAAAAAGGAATGCTTCCAATAAAATGAAATTTTACATAATAAAATAATTTTAAGTTGAAAATGAAGTATTTATCCTTAAATTTAAAGAAATTAAAAGTGAAACATTTGAAATAAAAAGGAAATAATTTGATAATCAAAATTTAGGAAGTGCTTCCGTGTATTTTCATTAATTAATTGAATGCTTCGTGAGTTCAAATTTATTTATTTTCAAGTTCACATTTTCTTTTTAAAAAAGCAGGGGTGCTATCTCCGTATATTCTCGCGCCCCGTCTTTTCAATTCCTAGATCGACCAATGCTACTTGGCAAATTATATTATACATCCAAAAAATTATTTATGGTATGAATTTTATTTTACACGAGAATGAATAGTTAGTTATTTGAGAATGAGTACTTTTTTGTTTCAGAATGAACACTACATTATTTTTAGATGAATATTATATTTATATTGAACCAATGTGTGAAAATGAGTACTGCATTATTTTAGAATGAGTACCACGCTAATTACATTTCCCTGAGAATGAGTAGTAGTCTATTTCAGATTGAATACTACCCAAATGTAAAGTACATATCTCGTTGTACCATATATACCTTCTCATGCTACTTCCTAAATAAAATCAACTTAAACCTATATAATTTCACCATACCTTATTCGAACAGCGTAATTCATTTTTGAGAGATAGTACTCAGTAGATTTTTATTCCCTATATTTTTTAGACAAACAAAAAAACGAAATTACTGCGAATTTAACTGGACCCGAAGTACTCCGTATATGTTCTGTCATTCAATTCATGGATCCTTACCTATCTGCTGCATGTTGAATTGGGACCCCTTTAATGGCAAGTTGGTAACTAACTGCACAAAAATAATGTCAACAGATTGCATCATAGACTATTTAAAAAATGTAAATAATACTTTCTTGGTTCTAAAAAGAGTTACGGAGTATACTCTTCACTATTTAAAGATGATAAAAACGTTTGTTTATTTTGGGCACTTTGGTTGATTATTTGATAGAATAAAATATTCTTCTAACATCTTTTTTTGTAGAACTTTTGACATAATTTTTAAATATGTAATTTTATTTTTAATTTGTATATACCAATCTTCAAGTAAATTTAGAAAATGTGAAATTTTGCTTCATTTTCTCTAAAGTGTAAATCATATTAGGACAAAGGAAGTAATTCACCCAAAAAATGTAAATAATTGAGTTTTTTTACGTCATTACTCCTGAATTCTCCAAAATTTCTATAGATTGTTACTAAATTTTAAAATTTGTACCAATGGTTCTTGAACATTTAAAAATGTTGCATCAATGCGGTTTCTCTATACTAGATTTGTGAGTGCGTTTATCACACGCTCCTTTAGTGCACGTACGAATGTATCTAAATTCATATATCAAATGTGAGTTCTACAATATGTTCTTTCGAAGTATTATTTTCTACTCTATCTGTCCCTAAATTTTTTCTTCCTATTTTGACTTTTATAAAAATTAAGGGAGTGATAGTTATTTCTGTGTTAACTTTCTGAAAATACTATTAATGTGATGAGTAAAAAGAGGATATGATGTGTTGATTATTAGTGAATACATATGATTTAATAAGTAGGATATGAGTTAGTAGTAGAGATAAAATTTGGTCTTTGATTAAATATAAGTTATATTAGATATTTATTAATATTGTTAATATTGTTTAAAAAACATACAGATTAACAAATACCTGTGAAATTTTTCAAAATAAATAAAAAAGAGTTTTAAATTAATAAAATGTGGTCTTTAATTAAATATAAGTTATATTAGATGTTGACTAATACTGTTAATATTTTTTTAAAAAACAGATTAACAATACCTAGGAAATTCTAGAACATTGCCATATCTAATTTTTTTGAAGGCACCAATTCTAATTTAATTGTAATAAAAACTTTAGAGCCTTCAAAAAATTATGAATGCAAACTTTCAAATTGAAAAAATAATAAATATAACACATGGCACATACACATTTGACCACAAACTTTTAAAAAATGCATCAATTCTTCCTTCCTCAAGCATCGGGTGCTAGGCCAAACATCTTCTTTTCATTTCCTCCTTGAGTATCTCTATTGATCATCTATCTACAATAATAGAACCCAGTGGCCAACATCTCATTCTCTCTCCTCCTAGCACCTCTTTTGCCAACATCTCATTGGAGATGGACTAATGTGACCCCATCTAATTAGGCTAAATTTAAATTTTTGTTAAATTTTTTTGTAAAATGTATTTTATTGCATATAATTAATTTTTATAGAATAAAATTTCACATAACCTATTAAAAATATTTTACATTCAATAAATGTTTGAAAATAAAATTCATTAGTTTTTGTCATTTCAAATAGTCTACCAAAAAAATTTTGGGGCGCTACCCCCGGATAATAATGCCCCCATCTAGCCGAATTTCTGGTCCGCCACTACCCACACATCAGCCGATCAAGCTCTTCAATAACTATTCAAGCTCTTTATCAGTTTATGGTATCGCATCTAGCTCTAATAAATAGGTACATTAACGCACTCTCAAATCTTACACAAAAAAACCATTGATGCAACATTTTTAGGTATTCAGAGTCTATTAGTACAACTTTTAAAATTCAAGGAGAATATGTTCAATTTTTAAAGAGTTTGAGGAAAAATGATACAAAAGTTCATACATTACTTAGTTTTGAAACCTAGCACATATAAATTTCAATTACTCATACTAGTTACATCAAATATCACATATCACAATGGGAAAATTATACAAAACTTTAGGCAGTTAGGTCGTGTTCTTTTGGGTTAGAATTTCAGAGTTGGACATTGGAAAAAATTGGAAAGAGTTGAAAGAAATTGAAAAAACTTAAAAAGTAGGAAGGAGTTAACCAATGTTGGAAGAATTAAAGTGTTAAAAAGTCACTCAATTAAATGACCACCTACATAAATATGTAAGAAAACTCCAATTTTGGATAAAAAGGAATTCATCCTTGTACATGTTTGAAATAGTATGTTATAAATTTGGGTATATAATGTTATTATATATTCATCATATACAAATACTTTGTTAAAGTCGTTGGAAGGACCTGGAAAGAGTTGGAAAAAATTGAAAGAAGTTAGAAGTAATTTTTCCTACCAAAAAGAATATATAGAACCTTAGTAATGAACTTTTATTTAACCACATTATCTTCCAAAATATACATGATAAATATTCTCCCAAACATTCTTCCCATTTTGATGTACGAAATTTGATTGAAATTATTTTCAATTGAATAAGTCTAAGTATAGGTGTCCTTTTTAAAATAAAATTTATATATATTTAAAAATTACATTAAAAGTTTTAGAAAATAAGAGGTGGCATGACTATATTAATTTATGAAATGACTAATGGAAATAGGTAAAGAAAATTATTAAAACTTAAAAAGGTCAATAGTAACTGCAAAGAAACTTTTAGGACGGAGAAAGTAATTCTTAGTTTATTTGACATACAATGTAAATTTGAACTAATACATATGATTTTTCTTAATGTAATATCTAAAACTTTTTATTTTCTAAATAGTATTTGAATAATGTCCAGTGGCGATAGACATTTAGTTCAAACAATGTCCAGTGGCAGTGGACATTTACTTGAAAAATAATGTCTAATAGACATTGAAAAGTGTTCTTTGAACAATGTTTAATGGTGGTGGACATTTACATGAAACTATATACATTTAAAAGTGGTACTACATTTGAAAATTAAAACATATGATACCACATTAGAAAACTCACAATCTATTAGTACTATATAGATAAATTCGACAATTAGTTTTTTATTTATCCTAAATACGAAGTATTTTGGAGTACGTACTTTTCAAGTATTTGTAATACTAGTTGGTAAATTTCCATCTACTTTATTTCTTTTGATTTTTAATTTATTGGTAAATATATACGAAGTATTTCAAAATTAAGACAATAAACTATGAAAAAACTTTATTAAATAATTGTAGATATATTTGCCA